GTGGCTCAGCCCAACTCACGCAAGTCAAGTGATTATTGCTCCGCATTTGTTTGTCTTTCTGTTTGGTGCCACATAAGGAAACAGAGTGGATGATCTCACCAAGGACAGATCATAGGAGAAAAGCCACAGACAGTTAGTGGTCCTCTGCGGCTCATCATTCATCCCGGCGCGGCGCTAACACTCAGGACGGCACCTCCTGTGTCCGAGCAGTGATTTATGCAGCCCGGCGTTGCCTTGTGGGATTATAGCCACGAGGAACTTGCGGAGCCAGAGCCTGTGGGGGTCCCTGAGGGATCTTTACTCCCCCCCTTTGCTCATCCTTCATCTGCGCCTTAGACACCAGCTCTGCCCCTTTGATGAGTGGCTGTAGCTTCTCTGTTACACCTTTCAGGCTGTCCTGATGCTTGGGGATGGATGGGCTGGGGGCGGAGGGGGGAGGATGGCTAAAGAGGGTCTTCTATACTTTTTTCCAGTTTTTTTTTTTTTTTAGATATAATTGTCACGTAACATGGTGCAATACTAAGTGCATGAGGTGTTGATTTGACACACATTCCTGCCAAACGATTGCCTTGTTAACTCCTGCATCATGTCACATAATTACCATTCCTTTTTAGTGCCAAGAACAATTACGATTTGCTCTCAGCAATTTTCAAGTACGTAGGGCAGTGTTATTAATTATAGTCACCACGCTGTACATCGGATCTTCAGGACTTATTCATCTTAGAGCTGGAAGTTTCTGTTCTGTAACAAACATCTCCCCAGTTTCACCCCCAGCCCTGGTAACCACTGTTCTACTCTTGGCAAGAAACCCAATTCCCTTGGATTTTGCCCACATTCACTTCTCTGTCCACGTATTTTTTCCCCTGAATCATCTATCAATTCTATTTCCTTTTGTTGGGTTCTTATGTTTGTCTGACTTCACAAACAAATCAATTGCTTTCCTTTCACACCTCTGGGAAGATGATGTGCTTCAATGTATTACTTTTGTTTGTTCATTCATTTATTATTGATTTAAGCATCTGCTCATGAATTGTTTACTGGGTGGGTACTGGAAACGGCAACTTAGCAGCTAAAAAGGAAATGCAAGAAGTGGTGGAATTAAAGTAATGCCTTTAATCTATGGTACCCTTTCTTGACAGCTTGAAGATCTCATATCATAGTCTGATTTTTGGTTCCGATCCCCTTGAGATCTCTGTGAACCAGATAATGGTTGCTCATGTATGGGAATACGAGGTCTGCAATGAGTTTGAAATCTCTGTCGTATAATTGGTCCTTTTATGCACCTAGCTCATTACCTTATCTATCCATTTAAACATTTGTAAAAGCAACTTAAAAGCAAGTGTATTTAATTTGAAAAAGTTTTACTTGAATTAAGACAATTATGATCATTAGAAAATACTTCAGGGCCTCCCTGGTACAGGGTTTCGAGTTTCAGCACAATCATGCTATTGTCAGCCACTGCGGCTTGAGTTCAGTCCCTGGCTAGGGAGGTGACCCCCGTGGCGTGGCAGACCTCTCCTGTGTCACCTGCTGCTCCCCTCAGCAGAGTACTTTAGTCCATCTGCCAGTTCTGTTCCCCACTCTGCTTTTGGTAAGTCTTCTCACTCCGCACACGTCTAGCCTACACCCCGCTTCTTCTACAGAATAAATCTAAAATAAAGAAAATACTTAAAAAATTGGTAAGTTAGAACTGTAAACTCAATCAGAGTATTCTGAGTTAGAAATGATGCCCCTCATTCAAGAGATCATAGTCCTTGTACTGACCTTCCCTTGTCTACATGACTGGGGTGAGCAGATTCATTTTCATTCTGGTGGTTTGCTGGCATCTTTCTGACCTAAGAGATCTAGAGAGAATTGAACCTCACGCCTGGGGTTGGTGAGTGCCCAAACCCAAGCTTGGCGGCTTTCTGGAGGGCGGATTTCCTGCCCCACACCCCCATTTCAGGCTCCAAACCTCGCCCATTGTGCTCATGGCCACCTTTGTATTAATTGCCACAAAACCACTCTCCCCACGGCATTTTCGTGGGGAGCTCACATTGCTGAAGCTCTGGAGGAGGAGAGCGCAGTGGCGTTACTGCAGGCACTAGGTGCACCTGCTTCCGGAGTGCCAGGACACCTCGTAACCCAGCCAGAGGCTCTAGGAGCCCACTGACACCCTCTCTGTTTTCCTGTCTTCTCAGGTTGTTTCCTCTCTTTTCTCCTCTCTTTCAAGGCATAAAAGCAACCTTTCCCCATTTTGAAGGACTTACTTTAAAGTTTTTATTTGCAATGTAGAGCTGTTAAACCCTCCGCTTCCAACAGTCAAATGCGGCCTGGCACCTCTGCGTGCACACAGATGGGAATGGTCGTATTTGGAAGGATTCCTGTGAGGTCCCTTCTCTCTCCTGAATATTTGGATAATGACAGCTATCCCCTGCCATCCGTGTCTGGGGCAGGGGAGGAGGAGTGTGTTCTGGGTACCATGTGTAGAGGAAAGGATAAAACCATAGTTTGCGGTCAGTTAGGGCTTATATATTTTTTTTAAGATTTATTTATTTATTCATGCAGAACTGGGGTACAGGCCAGAGATGCGGAGGGTGAGAGGATTCACCAGAGACAGAGTGGGGAGCAGAATAGGCAGATCGACAAAGTACGCTGCTGAGGGGAGCAGCGGGCGGGTCAGGAGAGGTCTGCCGCGCCATGTGGGTCAGCTCCGGGGTAGGGGATCGAACTTGCACTGAAGCAGCTGTGGCCAGCTTGTAGTGCTGCTCTTTAATCTCCTGTGCCACCAGGGAGGGTTCTGTGTCTGTTTTCTTAACTCTGCAGTGAGGATGCTATTCCTTCCTTGCAAGTTTTAAAAAGGCTGAAATTGAGTAGCACACCAATTGAGGGAGGGGTCAAAGGGCACACCCCTAAGGCACCCACCTCCTAACAGGTTCCTAACAAGTGTTAGTTTCCTTTCTTTTCAACTGAAAAACCCGTTCCTTGAGGGGCACGTATGTCAAGATGAAATATTTATGAGTTTGCATAATTCAGAAAAGCTAAACTTGAAAAGGGACCTTTGGAGTTTTGGATGAAGTGAACAAACCTCCCACTTGACTTTGCTACAGTCTGTTTCAGATGCAGCCTGGTTCTGCTTGAGCGTCTGTGCAGTGCTCAGCACAGGCGGGCTGGCTTGACCGAATCCGAACTCTCTCTGCAGCTTCATGCAATTGTAAATCTTAGGAGTTGCTGTTGTGATTTGAGGTCACCTAGGTGACTGAAGCCCAGAACTGTCCCTGAGGTGTTAATTTGCAGGTGGGTGCATCCTAGCTGAATAGAAACACTCACTGACGCCTTTGGTTTGGTCTGGAGGCACTGGAGCAGCGCCGTGAAATATTCCCAGCACAAAGTACTAACCATCTGATTTTCTCTAAAACAGAGTGGAGATTAATCCCTGGTGAACAAGTGATTGTTTCCGGTTAGGCCAATTTCAACCATTGGCCAGAGACTGCCTGTACAACTTCCATGCAGGTGGATTTTAAATTCCGGGGTGCCAGGGCTTATGTGGAAACAGTGGCCAGCGTAATAGGTCATGTTTTTAGAGGCAGGAAAGAATTAACTAAAGACTTTGATAAAAGAGAGTTTTTATATTGTCCAGTTACCTGTGTTGGGGTCTGCCAAGCCATCCTGCTTTGGTGTGGCCCTAGCTAAGGGTGGTTTTGCATATTTCAACAGTTGTGAAAGAAAAGAAATCTATACTATAACTGATCCATCGCATAAAGCCTTAGCATTTTCTCTCTAGCCCTTTTGGAAAAGGTTGGTGGTCGCTGCTATAGAAACCACTATATCTCAGATTAATGAAGGCAAAATGTGGTGACTGTTGACTGTCTTTAGTCATACTCTGCTTTGTGGCTCTCGCGCTGTCTGTTCCAACAAAGCTTAGCGGGCATTATTTAGGATTAATATAATAACATTTCAATATTTAATTGTGCCTTACTGTTGCCACCTGGGGTTACTTCAACTTTGTCCATGGAGCAGACTCTGTTTGATGTTCTAGAAGGAGCTCTCATGTCTGCCGGCCTCCCTCTGGGGCCCCCAGCTGTTCCCTTCCTCACCACAGCTCACCTGTCTGAACAGTGAGGGGTGCTCAGATCTGACAGTGCGCCCTCCCTGTCCCTGAGTCAGGAAAGGCTGCTGAGGCTTTTTTCCTTATTGTGCACCTGCCTCCCTGAGACCTGGGCCTGCACTGTCCCTGCAGGTTGGTTCCATTTGAGAGAGGGCCCAAGCCAGTGTGCAAAGGTGTAAGCAGATGTCTCTAGGAGGGTGCTGTCTGGGATGAGTCAGATGAGATTGGGGAGTCGCTGTGGCCCTCTTATTAGGAATGTTAAGATGCATGGTACTCCAATCCAGCAGGCAGAGAGGAGTCATTGTTCACTTTGAAAAGGAGCAGTGAGAGGGCTGGGAGGGTGAAATGACAGTCACGAGAAGGCTGCTTTCCTTCAGCACTGACTGGCTGGGCGTTGGCTAAATGCATGGCAAGGACCGGCTCATTTAATCCGCACAGCTACTTGGGGAAAGTTATGCTTATCCCTTTTGTGCGAACGAGGACATTCGGACTTAGAGAGGCTAAAATAAATGTCCAGAGCTCTAAAGTCAGTAATGGAGAGAGCCACGCCAGTCTAACGTAGATGCCCAAGTTCTTGGGTTTCCATTCTGTAAAAAGGGTGAAAAGAGCGGTCACCCGCCTTGTAGGAATGTGGCCCTGGGCTCCTCTCCTGTGTATCTGCACAGCAGTGAGCATAAGCACTGCCTGGATTGCAGAAGTCCTGTGTCTGCAGACTTTGCATTAACCGCACCATGCTGTCCGACTTTTTTCACCCACTTAAAACTAATTTTTCATTTTTAAGTATATAACATATAGTATTTTGCTTCAGGAATGTCCCCTCATCCATTTAGCCAGTCTGCTAGAGATCACGGCAGGTTCTTGAGCTTTTTAAAAAATTTCTAACGGAGCTCATGCATTTTCACTTTCTTTGCAGCATGCCCTTGACGCTGACAACGCAGGCGTAAGTCCAATAGGAAACTCTTCCAACAACAGCAGTCACTGGGACCTCGGAAGTGCCTTTTTCTTTGCTGGAACTGTCATCACCACCATAGGTACCATTCATTTGCTAATCTCTTTTCCTCTGCAGGCCGTCCTGGGCTGTGGCGCCAAGTTCATGTTCTGTCCTTAGAATACACAGCAGTTTGAGGTCCTGAGGAGGCTTATGACACAGTCAGGTTAATGCAGTCAGTTGTGGTGACTTTTAATTCAAGGCAAAGCAGAATGAAGAATTTTGTATTTAGGGAAACTTTCTTTGGACAGGATTTAATGAAGAGGGTAGAGTGAAAAATTAGAATATGAATTGGTCAGTTAAATTCAGATGGCTGAGTTGAGCTTAAAATCCTGGGGGTGGGGGTGTAAATTGTGCTTTTTATTTAAGTTACCGATGAAAGAACTGGGATGTTCTAAAAAGTTTGTTGCATAAAACAGCAGTCTGCTGGCCTCCCTATTTTCATTTCCCTGGGTGCAACCACTTTCATTTCATTTGACTTATTAGTTTGATATTCATTTCTGTGTCTTTAACATATCACACTGAGAGGACTGCTCCTGAATTTTCATTTGGGGATATTATTTCTTTCCTTCCCATTGTGGAAGGCAAGGGATTTATTTCCTTTCTTTCCTCTACCCCACATTAGAAGTGCTCATCCCATCTTCCTAGCTTCCCAGTGTAATTTAATTTGATCACAATGACCATCTGCTTGGCCATTTTGACTTGGTAAATGCTCTTGATGGCTGATCACATACGGGGTAAGCTTTGCTTACTTCTTTCTTGAACTAGTTTTTGTCTTATTTCATTTCCCTGTTTTCTGATTCTTGGGGGGTCTTCTTTTTGCCTAGTGGTTGACTTTGTAATTATAATCATGTTTATGGCAGCATTCTAGTCTTTAAGTAGTGTCTACTAGTTCCCTATCGTGGGAGACAGCTCTTCTCATCATACATTTTTAGCCAACACCTCCCCTTTACTATTTACTTTCAAATTATTAAATGGGCTTATGCTCCTAGTACATGGCTTACCCACTTTAAATGCTAATTCTTGGCTTCAGTAATTGTATTTAATGCAGTCAAGGAACTTACTCAGCCTCACAACTGCTTCACTTTGATCATCACTTGTGACATTCTATAGCATCAGGGTAAAAAATTTGCATTCTGTTCTGTTATCCTGAAACTCTTTTTTGCTTTTATCTTGACTCCACAGTTTAATATTGCCAGTGCTCACTGCTAGTCCCCTTGCCATTCTCTTCCTCCTCAGCACGTGCTTGGCTGAAACTCATCTTGAAGTAGTCACTTTAAGAATGACTTATGGGCGCCATATTCCCTGAGTTCTTGGGTTGGTCGAAATAGTAGCACTACGCCTGAAGGACAGCTTGGCTGGAAACAAAATCCTTGACTCCAGGTGTCACTCCAATACCTCCTGATGTTTCTGCTGCTGTAGAGAAACTGGTACCCAATTCTCCCACTACCTTTTTATATGAGAGTTGACTTTTCTTGCTTGACTATTCAAAAAATGATTTCTTAGTATATCATCTGATCCTACCAGGTTTTGTCTTCTTTAGTTCAGGAAGATTTTCTTGATTGTCTTCTTTAAATATTTCCTCTGCTGTGTGGCTTTGTTCTTTGGGAATTCCAACTTTATGCATAGCATAACTTCTTTGCTTGCCTGCTGTGGCTATCTTTTCCCCTCTGTTCCTTTTGAACTCTTAAAATTTGTTTTTCATCTCTATTCATTTTTTGTGTGTATATGTTTTTTTTTTTTAGTGTCTATTCTGTTATGTGCTCCTTGCAACTTAATTTTCAATTTTGTGATCATTGGGGTAATTTCCCCCTTCCATGACTTTCCTGGATCCCCTGAGCTCACATTTCACCCTTGTGTATCATCTCACCATTTCTTTCCTGATTTCTGCTTTGTGGTGTCTCCAAGAAGATCCTGAGAGGTGATTCTTTCACAGTTGGTCACAATTTTTATCTAATTGAGGTGACATTTTTCTGCTGAGTGTTTTTCTTTCACTGGTAAGTTTTGCTGTTCTTTTCAAATTATTTTAAAATGGAAGCTTTATATTTATGCGGAGCTCACTTCTGTTGTAACTTGGTCCAGAGTAAGCTGGATATTACTGAATTAGCTATATGTAGAGTGCTTCCATAGGGTTGAGGAGAGGAGGGCTCTTAGGGAGCACGTCACAAGATTTTCCTCTTTCCTGCCGCCAAAGATACAGAGCAAATATGGTTCATTGCTGTCATCCTTGTCTATACTGCCTTTTCTGTTTTTCTGAACCAGGTTAAATTCCAGGGGGGTTCTGCTATTCTCTTTTTTCACCCTGTGTTGTATGTTTAGTGCAGACAAAAGTATTTGTTTTGCAGTTCACCTCAGCTGACTGCTTTTTTTTCTGTCATTGTCCACCAATAGGCCTGTCTATCATTCTCTCTGCAGCTTCTCTTCATTTCCCTCCCCATTTGGCTTCCAATCCAATTTCAGCTTTTTTTGGTAATCCTTGCTATTCTGGTGGGATCTAGCATTTATATCTCTCTCCCAGCTCTACTTAAAATGTCTTTGACAGTTTTCTAACCCCCTTACAATCGTGAAGCAATACTGCAAAGAAAATTCATAATCAGAGACACCCAGCAGTCAACAGTGTATAACGGTAACCGAGAGGCAGTGAGCAGATTCCTCACAGTGGGAGGATTCCTTCATTAACACCTGCTTGAACTGCAGGTGGAATGCCCTCAACACAGAGCTCTGTGCCTCAGCTGGGCCTTCTGGAAAGTTCTGCCATCCCCCTTATCCTTCAAACCCATACTTTACCTGGGTATTGGAGAGTATGCCTTCCTTGGGAGGGATGTATATGTGTGCACATCTTCAGCTTGCTATTGTTTCAGAGGCTAAGAGTTGTTTTATAGGCATAGGTTTTGTTATTGTTTTAGGACTTGTATTGTTTATACATTGGTGCAACCAAGAAAATGATGTGTAATAAGAAAACTTGGCATAAAAGAGAATTGTCTTTTGTTTTTAGAAAGCCTCTTCATCTAACTATATGATATGCTAAGAAGTCACACTTATACATCTGCAAATAGACTTAAGAACAACTATTATAAATAATGGGCTTGGGGCCTAAAGCCATTTCAGAAACTCCGTGCAGATCAGATTATGTTAGTCCACAATCTCACAGAACCCAGCAAAGGAAGCAGGTGATCTGCCACCACTTTTCATAAGGCAAAAAGTGCTATAAACCCCAACAACATCTGAGGCCGTCGCTCTAAGAAGGTCCGAGAAGACCAGTTTCAGGTTAAATTATGTTCAACAGTCTGGTTGTTAAGTGGGGAAATGTGTCATGCATTTTAGGCGGATTTATGGCAAAATCATTAAAACTGAGATATTCTGGGCCTTTTTACGAGGTGCGTATTGGAAAATGTACCCTAGTCCCCAGTTATATACATGAAACTTTTGTGAACATTTAAACAGACAGGAAAATCTTAACTTTCTGTTTAATGAAATGATTAAGTCAGCACTCTGTATGATGCATTGGAAAACACTGTGATGACAGTGGAATGTATATGGATGGTGGTTTTTCAAATTGTTATATGCCAGGGACTTTGTTTACTGAACACCTATGTTTATTGACCCACATAACCTGAGATGAAATGAGGAATGGTGATTCCATCTGCAGGATGGGGAACATTTAATGTGTATCATTTCCTGCCCTTTTTACTTGCTTACACTGGAATTTATGAGTTTCTGTGAATGACTCTTACTCCTCTGTTTCTGCTGCCTGGCAGCCACATAATTTTCACCCTTGTCCTGATAAGTGCTTTCCCATTTACCCCTTCCCAAACCTGCCCCAGGCCTCAGGGCAATCTCACCTTGTCCAGATGGTGGCATTTGCATGGCCACCATCTTTAGTTCAGACATCAGTACAATAACCACCTCAATTCCTGGGCTGAGCTTCAGAGGAAGTGATTCCTCTTTCCTACTGGAGTTAAATCTGGAAAGAGATAGGCCCAGGACCCTTGATGGTTTGCCTTGACTTTGGCTCACCCTAAGGAAGTAGAGCCATGAATGGGAGTGACCAGTGTGGCCCTGTGCACATCCTTTGGGCTTTTGATAAAGCTGCCCGTGGTGTTAAGAAATAAATGTTAAGTCTTCTATTTTTTAGGGTCACTACATTACCTTTTCTGCTTAAGTCAGTGTTGGTATTTCTGTCACCTAAAACTGAAAAATTCCTAACTACTATACACTTAGAGATCAAAGAGCGTGGAAGGCCAGTGAGTGTCTTCTGAACCTCAGGACCAGTGTGCCTGACCATGCCGGTCACTGTAGCTTCTTTGAGGCACTTACTCTTGATTTAATGCTCTAGGCAGAGCTCCGATTGGGTGGGTCTCCGGGTTCCTGTGCCAGTGGCTACCTGGGATGCTGTTGCCTCTGTGTCATACCAAGACACAGCCTGGGACTTTCCCCCCAAATCGGAAGGGAGGTGGACGGAGAACATCCAAACAAAAAACAAAACCTAACCCAAAGAAGAAGTCAGGTCCACTTTTTCTCAGCGGTGGTGCTAGAAATTGGGTCCTTATTCCAGTCCATGGAAAAATGCAACCAACTTTTAAGTGAGAGAAGTCTGTGTTGAAACTGGAACATCATTTGTTGGCTGAATTTAACTCCAGAGAGGAGTCTTTGTTAAGACATGTTTAGAGAATTCGCAAGAAAACCTCAGTGCCTGATAGCAAGAATAATGAGGTAAGGAGATCATGTCGCCCCCCCCCCTCAGTTATTTCATGGTCACTTCACCATGCATCAAAGCTTATAAGAACATCCAGAGCTGATGAAGTCTTTGCATTTGTCCTGAGAAATTTTCTACCATGGCGGATCCATGGTGTACTAGCACTGAGGCGCTCTCTTTTTGTTTTATTTTTGAAACACACAGACTTCAGCCTGCTCACTTGAGTTTATGTGATGGGTGACACAAGATGATAAGTATTTTCCCTACAGGACTAAGGGTCTTTGGAAGACGTCATCTTTGGTGGGCTCCCTGGTGTGTGCTCACCACTCATCCTTGGGTGTTAGAGG